GTGATCCATGTTCAGCTGCTATTTGAAGAACAGTATATCCAGTTTTCATCAGTAGCCATTGGATTGCAGTAACACTCATTAATAAGATACTTCACAATATCAATGTGTCTAGCAGCAAGGTGAAGAACAGTGTGACTACTGTTGGTAGTAGCCTTTGGATCACAGTGATGATGACTGATCAAGTACTTCATGGCATCAATTGATCCTTTATTAGCTGCTTTGTGAAGAACAGTGTATTCATATTCATCAATAGCCATTGGATTGCAGTGACACTCATCGATAAGATATCTAATTGTATCAACATGATTACCTTCTGCAGCCCAATGAAGACAAGTCTTAGCTCCATTATCACTTTCATGTGGATCACAGTTATAGTTAGTGATGAGATCTTTTGTAATATCTAACCAGCCATGCCTTGAAGAAAAATGAAGTAGACTAGTATTCTTATGAGTTATTATTTTTTCCAGATAAGTTCTTTTGATTTTATTTGGTTCCTTCACTAATGGTAGTAAGGAAACAGCTTCGTCATATTTACCATCTCTAAAGGCAGCCCAGCACTGGTCCTCTAACGACATTATCTTGTGTCTTGTGACAGTTGTGATAGTTAATTGGATTCATTGCCACACCCAAACTTAAGGAATTCATTATCCATACACTATACACACACCATGATTAGGAGGGAGAAATGAAAAACAACTGTATGTGCATAGACAGCTGCTCAGCAATTATTACTCATTTTTAATTAATTATATTAGCTTTTCTTCTTTATACTTTGTTCAGAAATGATTCTCACTAAATTTTTAGCCATTTTATGGTTTGTCAAAAACTGGCTATGCTTACAGTCCATAACCTGGGGATACAAGGACACTGAAACTTAGTGTTTGGCAGTTGCAGTGAACATCTGCCTATATCTGCCATTTTATTTAATTGTAAACATGCTCAACAACACTTTGCACAAAATTCCCAATATAAAACTATAGTCTACTATACTTTCTTCAAAAATTCACCAAACATTACTTTCGGCAATGTTATTATTATTATTAATGTTACGAACAATAAGTTAAGCACTATAACTATAGACAGGAACAAATTAAGCAAATATTATTATCATTATTATAATAATAAAGTAATACAATAGGAAGAACAGAATAATAATAATCATTATTATTTAATACAGGTGATGTCACTGACAGTCCCAGGTATGTATGAGTATCAATTGGAGTCACACTTTGAGCACTACTGCCGAATGAATGGAGGGCAAAGATTAGCATTTGTACCTGTAGTAGCAGGTGGAGAGAGAGCCTGTCATATTCACTACACTACAAATGAACTCAAATTAAAGTGAGTCCCTTTAGCTT